GCTGTGGCTCAAGTGGTAGAGCGCTAGCCTTGAGTGAAGAGTTGAGGCACAGTGCCCAGGCCCAGAGTTCAGGCCCCATGACTGACAGAAAAAAAAAAGATAAAAAAGTGGAAAACTGAATAGAATCCTATACCATTTTTGTAATTGTTTCTTGGCCAAGGAATAAAGGAAAGGTTAGGTTGTAGGTTGAATAAAGGTCCCTCCACAGTGCCAGGGTCTGGACTTTACATCATGCTATTCTGTATACACTATGCCAAACATGATCTATGTAACTTGTGGGCATTGATAGGGGGGGCAATTGGGGGAAAGCAAAGGAAGGAATGATATTGTTCAAAATATAAGTCAATAAAATTATATATATTAATAAAGGACTTTGCAAATATGCTTAAAGATCCTGAGATGAAGGCTACAAATGTAGGAGGCTTCTAGAAGGTAGAAAAGGCAAGGTGGACAAGAATTCTCCTTTAGGGCTCCAGTAGAAATGTGGTTCTGCAACTATCCTGGTATGTGTAGGATTTTTACCTCCACACTTGTGAAAAAAGTAACTTTCTATGAACCATGGCAGCAAGCTGTGGTGATTTATTGCACCACAACAGAAACTAATATAGGCTCCAATGAAGCTGTTGTGAATTCTTCCTCACAGAGGAAGACAACGGTTCAAGAATGACCTCCTAGAAAACCAAAGGGATGCCTGCATAAAGCAAGTTATTTAAGAAGGACATTTCCTTTATGTATTTACAGATATAATCTCTGAAATAGGCTTACCTGTGAGAATACCTGAAAAAACACATGACCAAACCTCATCTTCTAAAAATGCTGCACAGTCAACATCATCGGTAGACCCTGAAGGGCCTGAGCAGAGGGAGACAGACACATCTGTGGAAAATACTCTCCAAAGCAGCCAGGCAGCTTCCTTTGATAACTCTTTGTCTTTGCAAAACCTCATTCTCCAGAAAGGTAAGTAATGGATTATTCCTTCCTTCTCTATGTAACTCAGAATTTACATAGCAAATTTTAACCTGTTATTTTTTTTATTTGTAAATCAACAGATGACACAACAGGCTTTTGGATTCTGAAATATGTATTTCAAGTTGACATTTACAATTTCATGAATTCTGCATTTTCACCAATTATCATGCTGATAGAAAGGGTAAGGTGGCTTTACAATTTTTTGGCAATAATTTTACCTATTTTACAAATTGAAGAGCAACTTCAAAATATGCTTGGGCATATCTATCCTATATAAACTTCCTAGAAGTTTGTTTCTTTTTGATAAAATCTTACATGCACACAGGAGTTTCTTTATAGGAAGGTTTTGCTGCATCAATGTGAAGACATTTTTATTAATTAGTTGATTAATTAATGTGACATGTTAGCCACATTTTAAAACATCTTAAAACCTGATGGAGGTTTTTGAAATGATTGGAAGGAAAATCTAAATGAATTTTTTTTGACAGTACTATGATTTAACTCAGGACCTAGCACTCACCACGTGAGCCATGCATGTTCCCAGTCCTTTTTGCTTTTATTTTTTTGTCAGTTGTGGGGCTTGAACTCAGGGCCTGAGCGCTATCCCTCAGCTCTTCAGCTCAAGGCTAGAGCCACAGCACCACTTCTGGTTTTCTGGTGGTTTACTGGAGATAAGAATTGCACAGACTTTCCTGCTTGGATTGGCTTTGAACTGTGATCCTCAGATCTCAGCCTCCTGAGTATCTAGGATTACAAGCGTTGAGCCACCAGGGCCTGGCTTTAGTTTTTTGTTTTTGTTCTTTTTTTAGATAGGGTCTTGTGCTTTTTGCTGGGACCATTCTCAGAATACATTCCTTCTATCTAGCTGAGATTACAAATGTTGGCCCCTATCCCCAGCTTGTTTGTTGAGTTGGAGTTCTTACTTCTTTCTCAGGCTGGCTTCAGACAACAATCTTCCTCATCTCTGTCTCAGGAGTAACTAGGATTACAATTCATTGATTTCTTTTCTTTTCTTTTCTTTTTTGCCAGTTGTAGGGGCTGAACTCTGGGCCTGGGTACTGTCCCTCAGCTCTTCAGCTCAAGGCTAGTGCCCTACCACTTGAGCCACAGCACTACTTCTGGCTTTTTTCTGCTTATGTGGTGCTGAGAACTCGAACCCAGGGTCTCATGCATGCAAGGCAAGCACTCTACCACTGAGCCAACTTCCCAGCCCCACATTGATTTCTTATAGCTGGAGTTCATTTGATTTAATGACTGAGGGTAAAGGAATTAAAGAAGAAAGTGAAAATAGTCATTACAGGTTTCTAGCAAGGGTGGCAATGATGAATCTTTGTGAAAACTAGACAATAACACAAATCATTTCGCTTTCAGAGCTCTCTTATTTTTGGGGGCTAGGTTCTAGAGAGGATATAATATGATAAATGAGTCCAGAGAAATCATTATTTTTTTCTGTATGATTTCTTCTTGAAGATGATTTAAGACCTTAGTCAGAAATCTCTAGGTTAGGTGAAAAAAAACCCAGTGATAATAATTGTAAAAATAACTACAATAGAATACCATTTCATTAGAATTAATTAGAATAATTCTACTTACTGGTGTGTACTGTTGAGAGATAGACCATATCTCTTTATCCCCACCCCAAATTGTGCAGTGAAGTTAAGGGACTGGAAAAATATCTCACTAATCTTCATATGACATTTGGGTTTAAATTAAGTGCTTATCTAACAAAGTCTATAGTAATAAACTTGTGTTTCACAGTAAATATTGCCAGATAACATTTTACATGAAATACTTTGAGGGGCTGGGAAGGTGGCTCAGTGGTAGAGCGCTTGCCTTGCATGCCTGAGGCCCTGGGCTCGATTCCTCAGCACCACATAAGCAAAAAGAAAAAGCCGGAAGTGGTGCTGTGGCTCAAGTGGTAGAGTGCTAGCCTTGAGCTGAAGAGCTGAGGGACAGTGCTCAGTCCCAGAGTTCAGGCCCCACGACCGGACCAAAAAAAAAGAAACACTTTGAATTCTTTAGGCATGAAAAATATTGAGTTTAAGCTTAGTTAATTATTGTGACCTTGAAAAATCACTTGTTCCTTTGGGGAGGTGTCTCTATTAAAAGTGTAGAATCAGAAGCAGAAACGAAATCACAGACTGCTATTAAAAATGGGTCTATACATTAAATTATGAATCAGTTGTCAATATTTAACAGTGAATTTATTTAAAAATGTAGATAGCTGGATTTTTTTTTTTTTT